AAAACGCCAGAATGAAATCAGAGCTCGATGACATTCTGGGTAGAATCAATGAAGAGAAGAGAAATCTTGCCAGCGAGTTGGCAGATTCGAAATTCCAAGCGGAAGAGGTGAACAGTATGAAAGAACAGTTGAACGCAAAAGGCGAAGATTTTGCAGATGGACTTAGAGTTCTGATGGATGAAAACTCTTGGGAGAGTATTGTCAAAGAAAAATTGGATGAACTGTCCATGGTTCGTCGAGAGAATGAGAAACTTATGAACGAATTGGATTCTTTGAAAAGCAAGTACAGTGATCCAGAGAAAGATGAAGAAAATTCTAACAAGATGCATGAAAAAGAACTTGAAGACCTCTTCGAGAGAGAGAGGCAACTAACTACAAACATAACGCAAATGAACGAAAGGTGCTCATCTTTAGAAGAACAATTAAGTCGCTCTGCCTTGGAAAATATTAAATTGAAAGAGCAACTAAGGAAGTTGAACATGGAAGTAAGTGACGTTCGACAAGAGAAAGCTGAATTAACTGATCAGAAAATTGCTCTGGAGGAAAGCTTGCAAGAACAGCAAGAGAATGCCAAGCGCGAAATTGCCGCGGTAATGGAAGGGAAGGCGACTCTTGAGAGGCAGTTACAAGCAAAAACGCAAGAATTCGAGGAAGGAAAAACGTTATTGAAGTTGAAAGATGCTCGGTTGAGCAAAGTGGAAGCAGAACTCTTGGAGACCAAAGCTTACTATGAGGAGCTACTTCAGGAAAAGTTAGACGAGTTCGAGGTGGATAAACAGAATATGATGAAAGAAATCAACAGTCTAAGATGTTTGCAAGGACTGCCAGCGTTAAAAAAAGACAGCTTACAATCAAAGCAAGAGGTTAAGGATGGCTTAAAAAATGGAGAAAATCAGGTAAAGAGCAAGAAAAACAACAAACTTAACTCTGAGCTTACGCGCGCCAAAGAACAACTTGTGCGCCTTAAAGCGGAGCTCACACTGTCGAATATGCAAACAAGAAATCTCGGTTCTCAATTATCGTCACTGCGCGAAGATAGCACGAAGCTTGAGGCAGAGCTTTCGACGGTACGAGTTTCTCCGAGGAATTCTGGACAACGAAGAGCTTCGTTCAGCTGTTACGAAGAAACAGTGCGGCTGGAGATGGAGCTAGCGGAGGCGAAGGAGAGGATCATTGACTTGCAGGAAAAACTGTTGATTATTTACAAGGAGAAGTTTGCTCTGGAAGAGAAGATAAGTAGTTTGGAAGGGCAAAGAAACGGCCACTCGGAAAATGGCGAGAGGCCTTATTCAGCTAACAATGACCAAGAACCATTCTGTGACTTAGAGAAAACAAAAGAATTGGAGAGCAAGATTGGCCTATTAGAGGCTGAGAAAGAACGGCTTCAAAGAGAACTCGACGATACAAACGCTGATAAATCTCGATTAGAGAGTATTGAACACTGCGTACAGCAGTTAGTAAGCCTTGAAGACGAACATTTGAGAGTGAAAGACAGATTGAAAAAATGGGCTACAAATTCCAAAGACGAACAACAGTTAAACGAGATAAAAGTAAACGTAAAAAAAATCACAGAGAAAAGCTACCTCAATGAATTACGAGTCATATCCGGAGAAAATCTTGTTCTTCAGGAGGAAGTCAATAGTTTGAGGGAGACAATCGCACAACTTGAAAGCGATTTGGAAGCTTTGAAGTTTAAACTTTCCTTCACAGATGCAATACAAGACGTTTCTTTGGACAAGAAAACTGTTGCAACGCTACTCGTGTCAGTAAAACAAGAACGGGCCGAGTTACAGGCGGCTTTAAATGAGGTGCTTATCGAGAAGGATAATTTAGATGAAGAATTGACTGAAATAAAAGTGAAGTATGCAAATCTTCAAAGGGAATTTGCCATGACGAGTATAGTAAAGGATGATTTGGAGCTGGAGGTTCTTTCTTTGAAGAAAGCTAGCTTGACACGTGGACTTTCCAACTTGACACAAAGCAGTGAGGAGTGTAAAAGCGAAATGTCTGATTCGTCACTAGATGACAAACTGATGAATCGCAGCGATGGAAACGGAGTCGGAGAATCCATGGATAAAAAGATAGCATCGGCCGGCGGTGGAAGAAAGAGAGCCCCTGCAGTTAACAGTCGAAAAACGATGATCACAAAGAATCTCAAAGCTGGGAACGACTCGTTATCCTCTGGAAAGAGCACATCAAGTTCCTCTCCAAAGGTAAAGGTAGTCAAGTTTTTTAAAATGTTTCACTAAATTAAACAGAACGCGGGTCATAATAGTAACTAGTCAAAACCGAAGAGTAGCCGGGATTTTTCATTTCTCAATTAGTACCTGCGCCATGATTGGTCAATTCAGCCAGCCATATTTCACTCTGTCGTCCGCTAAATTCAGCATTTTGATGGGGATCAAATCTTTCCCCTCTATTTCAACCCAGAGAGATAATAAATATCTCAATAACCTTGTTTTGTCGGTCCATATCGTAAACTATAGAACCTTGTTTTTCCGTTCGGACTTACGACCTGCGCCTAAGCCATAAATCCGAACGGACCTCGAACTCATTGTTGTAAGAGGTTCTTGAAAGATCGCAAAAAGTGATGAATAAAGAATGTACATTACTAGAAATATAAAATCACCACGTTTTATTTTGTTGTGTAGCTTAGAGATTGAGAGATAACCATACTGATCCTCAAGCTGTTTAAAGAGGAGCATTCCTTGGGTTTTAACTTGAAAATCAAATACTTCTCACATCTATTAAACTTTGTGTTTGAATCCTCAATTTCACAGAATGAAAAGAAGACACCCCCACAAAGGCCAAACACTCTAACGAGTCTACCACTGTCGCCGAAGAAGTCAGCTGGAAGGCGTGAGTTGTAAATTTAATTTCAGGAAACCAATTTAATCGACAAATAGTCAAGTTCATTCAGAGTTTTCTGCACACCAATGGAATATTAAAGTTCTTAATTTTGTGTTCCATGGGGACTTGTTCAGGAAGCATGTATCTTTCTCCAGATCTTTATGCGGCGAATCTACGAATGCGTACGATAATGCTGCAACCTGAATGATCCCGAGCAGGATGCCGAGCAGTTACAAAATACCTACGCTTACATCCATAAACAGATCCTGGTAAATCGAAGGTTGGATAACGCTATTCACTAGATTGATCTCTCTCAGATGGATAGCTCAGTACGTTTTGCTACCACATCCGCTGGATAGTGATTTATCTGTTTGATAGCGTTCTCCGCCTTTTGAACAACTGGGCCGAGCTCAAATATTTACCAAGCAGATCCGTCAATTCAGCAGGGAACTTGTGGCCTAGTGGGCCTTTAAGAAAACAGCGAGGGATCGAAAAAAACATGGCTTACACGCGCAAAGCATAAAAATATATACCCATACGTCACGTTGGTTAATTTTCTTATTTCATGTATTAGTTAATGTGCAGTTTGCTTCTTTCAGGCACGAAGTCATTAGAATCCAGTGGAGAGAAACCAAGAGGTAGAACGCCGAGGTAATACCAGAAATCAAGCTTGGTCTTGGTCTTGCCAGTTTGGAGACTAAGAATACTCTATGCAATAGGAGAGAGAGTATGGCAGCCGTGCATTCTCGACAAATTTCCTGTAAACGCCATTGTACACGCACAATTCTTCTAGTTTAACTTTCACGTAGCTCAGCTATAACCCTGCCGCTTTCTATGAACAATGAGGGATCAGAAATCTGGAAGAATGTCGAGGGTCAATCTATAATTTGTAGAAAACTCCCCTAGGTGTCATGACAACACAAGTTTCTGCTAGATTTATGACACGTAAATGCCATAAATTCGTAGTAGTTTAGTTTAAGATTAAGCCTCTTATCCACACTGACTGAATTGCACTTTGCACACTGACAGGTCAATCATAGATGACAACCAGTCGACGAACGACAACCCAAATCACCTTGCAATAAGCTATGACCTGATAAAGATTGATGACGTAGGTAGTGAGGCATGCGCACTGCACGGTGCCACGGACGGTATTGAAAGCGGACTTTTACGAAAAACGCCTGAGGGACAACGACTAAATCCCGAGGGTATGGAACATGACAATGAACCATGTTTCAACATAGACGACACTGGGCATGTTAAGATTGACGCCCACCAGGGTGCAATTAAGGGTATTTCTGAGACACTCTCTACACTGTCACAGTCGACTGAAGTGCTTGTAAAGACTGCATGGTCTCTGAAAAACTTTTTTCGACGGCAGCAGTCACCACCCATCCCTGATCATAAAATCGACGCTCTTACACAGTAGATCAACTCGAACCTTTACGGACCCGTCATTGTTTGACACCTGGGTGGATGGGTGGGTGGATGACATGATTTTCAAGGGGGGGTTGGAGGAGGATCAGTCAATGCTAACAGAGTGTAAAGAAGGGACTACCAATAATTGACAGCCAATGAGCGGAAACCACGAGAACATCACAGCACCTTATGTAGGGATCAGGTTAATATTATAGTGACACAACCAAACTTCTCCAGTCCTCCCCAAGCGACCATTCCCTAACTTAACTCTAACCTATCTTCATGGAAGAATGCTGTGCAGAAAAATACTAATTGGGTTTTGATCGATGACTTAATCAAAATTCATCAAATGTGACATTTAAATGAGAGGTTCTTTTAACCTCAATCTGCCACTTGAAAATTACAGGCTCAAAACCAGAAATTCACAAACCTTTCCAGATGGAAATAATGCAGCATTTTCATGTCATGGCTAATACCTTATCTAGGTCCTTCCTTTTTTGTTGGAACGAAATTTTACGGTTCAAGATGACGGACAATTCTGCTGGAAACTAATTTTTGTGACTTTCTGCACAAGCAGCAGAACATAAATTTGAGGGAATATAATATTTAAATTTTCATTACTTGAGTGGGGGGTTGGGTTGACTTATTTTTGTGTTTGTGGGAGAAGGGAAAACCAGAAAAACCAAATTTGAAACTTGTAAACATCCCATGCAACAAGTGAACAACTCAAATCTTTTAGACAGAGGATTATTGTTCAGTGCATTAAAGTTACCTAGAATCAACTATTTTTTTCAACAATTTTACTAGTAATAATGTTTGTTGTAGAAATGTAGTTAAATAAAATAATAATAATAATAATAATAATATAAGATAAGATACCCATAATGAAATTTAACAATAATGAAATTTGGTTCGAAAGGGGGAAAGGGGAAAGGGGGGGAAAGATGCTTAGAATTCATTTTACCTTTCCAAACACACCAAAAAATACAGTGACCACATATCATTATAAATTGCACATTCAGAGGCTTTCAGAGGTTGTTTTGATTTTCATCTGCTAATTTTAGAGTACAATATTTTTCTTATCCATAATTATTGTAAACTTATGAAATCAATAAAGATCAATTCTAAACAATTTTTTTTGTAGACACTTCTGTTGACATTCTTCAGTTGTTTGTAAAATGTGATTGCCTGAAAATAGGGGGGGGGGGGGTACTTGAAAGTAATAGTGACAGCAAGTAGAGGTCATTATCAGCATCAAATAACAGTTCTTTTGATGGGTACCTCCACCTGGACAATCAACTCATTTCAGTTCATCAAATCTTATTTTTATACTGGACAGAAAAACAACTTTAGCGTCCTCCCCGGCCTAACATTTTGTTGTACAATTTAAGCTGTCTCTTGTTGCACAAAACTGGCTTTCTCAGTTGGCGACTTCTCTTAGGCCCTTTCTTCATCATCTTATGATTCTTTCCTGGCCTCCAAAATTTCAAATTTCCATCACTTGTTCTAAAAAACCTGTTTGCAACAGCTTTACAAGTCTTTGGTTTGCCATGCTTGTTGCGGCTGTTGACAAATCTTTTAGGGATAACTAAACTGCTAGGAATGTCAGCCATCAGTGATTGCTTTGCAAAGTTTCCCACAGAGTCAAAAGCAAAGATGCTTGGTGAGGACAAGAAATATTTTTGCTGATGCTTAGCCCCTGGTAAACCAGTTTTCCACATATAAGCTTGGATGTTGCACGTAGAAAATGTTCCAGTTTGATTCTTGACAAAACTTGATAAATTACCTATCTTGGCCAGTTGCTTGAAAGCTGAATAAATATAATGTTAATGTTAATGTTATTTTCTTGTGCAAGAACAAGGTGAGTGCAAGGTTGAGGTACATACTCTTATATTCTCAAAATATAATGTGATAACAATTACACATTTCAACAATATTCTTTTGCCCACAAGGTTGAACCATTTTGATAGAGAATCCAGAAAATCAATCTTTTGTTTACGTACTGCCGCTTATTCGGAATTCGTGTCATCGCAGTGCCTGTCCCTGCTTCGCGTGATGAAATCATTGTCGTAGTTTTGCTTGCCATAAATCAGTGCACTGCTTCGAAATACTTCAGACCCTTGCCTTATTTATTTTACACCTCTAAGAAGTATCACAGATGCCCCTTCACGCATACAAATATTTTTCTTTTGTCAGCACGCGCCGACAATTTTGTCAACACGCGCCAAAGTTCCGTAAATTCAAAAAGGTTTTCAGTTGCGGATGAAGGCCGTCCTTTGAGTTGGTCAACAATGGATACAAAAGAAAGAAGGTTGGAGGTGGCAAAGTGAATAACAAAGGCGATACGGGTCGATGATCAACGCGTTAGCTAACGCGTTAGCGAAAGAGCACTAACGCGTTGACTTCTTCGAGCCCACGCGTTGACAACGCGTTAGGTGGTTCGCTTATCTTCAAACGGTACTGTAGTATACATTTTTATTTTACTGAAATTGTTACTTTTTGTATCATTTCTGACCCTGATACTGTGTTAACTCAATTAATCCTTTAATCCCTGACAGTGACCAGCATCTAATTTCTCCTTTCAATATCACCCATGAATCAAACATCAAGGTCATGAGAATATGGGAAACGATAATTTACAGAAGAACAAGTTCTCCTTGCCAGCACATTAGGAAATGTATAGAGACCAGTATGGAGAATATCCATACTGATATTAGGAAGCAAAGGGTTAAGTGCTCTTTGCTTTTCAATTTTTTAAACCTTGACAGTGGGCCCTTAATTGATGCTGGACACAAATTAACTTCACCATTTTCAGCAAATAGTAATTTAATTTTGCAATAAACCAATTAATAACAAAACGTGAAGATTAACAGTGAATTTAGACATTGTAAATCGGAAAAGAAATGATAATCTGTACTCCTCTTGTGCACTTCAGTTTTTTTTAGTTACTAGATGCTACCTACAGGGTGGGTGCTTATTTGATATTGGGAACGCAAACCAAGAAGTTAAGAAGTTGCCATTTTTAGTGATGCAGGCGAGAAATGCTTTTTTGTTAGGACTTATCTATCAGGAAAACGCGTGTATTTAACAGCTTAAGAGGAAAATAAAGCAAAAGATCGCGCTGCCGAAAGGTTTAGTGAATGCGAAAGAGATGTAGATGTTTTAATAATATTTTACAGGGCAGTTGGGACAGATTTGGTAAGAAGGGCGAACAAAATCAAAATAAAAGTATAAATTAAACCCCTCATGAGGATTCCAGCCTCTTTCGTAAGAATTGAGGCTGTCAATTTTCATAAGTATGCGCGAATAATTACCACTCATTTGCAGTAAAAATCAATACATGTTCACTTTGTAACTGTCTCTGGTAAGTTGGAATAGCAAAAACAAATACAAATGCGATTTAAAATTTCCAAAAATTCCTTGCACTGAGATAAAGAGGAAAAATATGAGTTAAACATACCCTCTGGCCTGAACGACGAAGAAACTGTTCTTAAGGAGAGAAACTTTCCAGAAGAAACGAGGACTCGTGAAAGCATACGATGGGCCGCCATGTTGACTTCCAGCGTGTGGATGCACAGCTGTGAGGGCCTGGGACATATTTGGAAAGAAGCCGCTGAGACTGACGGCGCATTCCTTCCCACGATACTTAGAGGTGCTGAAAATTACAGATGGCGCCTCAACCGACAGAAGAGGAGAAGGCTACTTGGGATAGTATTAGTCAACAAAAACAAATGGATGAATTCTTCGAATGGGCTGCAACACGTGAACCTGAAACCATGACAGGGAAATTGAAGAGGAAAGTGAAAGAGAATCCCCTTGTTCCCGTAGGTGAGTTTGGGTTTAGGAACGATGTTATCAATCTCGACCCAAAAGATCAAGAGTGTGATTATGCAATAGGAAAATAAGAATTTACGTCTAATCTACCTGAATTGATAGAAAATTGGAAGGAGGATTTGGCCAGTTCATTTCTCATAACTTGACGGTTCCCATAGTGCGGAGCTCTCAAGTTGATTTGCTCGCAAAGAGTGAGATTTTTCGATTTTGACGCCACGGGTATCACCCTCTTGGGGTGGGGGGAGGGGGGAGGGTTGTCTATGAGGGTACGCTTTCTCGGATAATTGTGAAAAAATCAAGTAGTTAATGCATGTATTCCTTCTGGACGAGAATTTCCACAGCTGGGAAGTGTTCAAAGTGAGTACAAAGGGAACAAAACGAAAATTATATTGAGTAGGATTAAACAGATTCAATAGGTACTTAGTTAAAGCAACAGTACATTTGCAATCTCAAAATCAACAGTTTAAATCAATAAACTTTAACACATGAGAAATAAGAATTTCAGTATGAGATCAAATTTGTTTGCACAAGTCTCCTGCACAATGCACGAATTGAGAGCTCTGTTACTGATGTTACTACCCCCAGCAGAGAGTAACAAAGGGGCAACACTAGAATTTAAGAAAGAAAAATTTTCCCTGTCATGTATATTTTCATTTCTCTTCCTGGGTGTGTCTTCTGGAAAATCTTGAGGTTTCACAAAATTAAAGGAAAAAAAAAAAGGGGTTGTGTAGACTTCAGGAAGTAAATTACACCTCATGTTGGTTCATGAATTCACCGATCATGTTGGCCTTTCTGTAAAATTTACACATCACATATTACTTGTGGTCTTGATCATGCATCACATAAAAACGTTTTGCCACCTCCTTAACAGAAGAAACAAAACCATTTTGGTTACCCCTATTCCCACAGAGAAAGCCTTTTTTTTTTTCCTCCTTTAGTAAAAAGATGTTTCTTCTCACAAGATCTCAGTATTATTGCTGCATACTCTCTGCTTCACATTTCCCACAACGAGAAGTTTGAGAATAGGGTTCCCTTGTCTTCTTTTACATATACAGATCAAGTATTTTTTGATTCTGTAAGGAGAAATTAGTCTTTTGTTACTCCAGTTAATGAAAGGATTGATTTTCCATCAGGAATTTTAAAAAGATCAGAATTGTTGACTTGAGAGTTTTGTCCTTGGCTCAATATCCACTGTGGTTTTAACCCTACACACCCTAACATCATTATACATATTCTCCATACTGTTCTCTATAAATTTCTAGGTTCTAACAAGGAGAATTTGTAAAACCATCAAGCACTTTTAGTTTCTGATCATTTCCCCTATTCTTGTGACTTAAACATTCAATTCAAGAGATAGATTATAAAGAGACATGAGAACCTCGTCACTCATAGGATTAAAGGGTTACATGTAAGCAAGGCAGTGATGTTTATAGTTTTTTTTACTATATGTGACATTTAACAATCTGTGAATCTTTCCACCATTATACAGGTGCTCTTTGTACAATTGGTGCTCTTTCATATGGTCTTTTTTCATTTGTTCGTGGTGATCAGAAAATGCAGCAATACATGATGAGGGCACGTGTTGCTGCTCAAGGAGGGACTCTAATGGCTGTTGTTGCGGGAGTTTTTTACATGCTTTACCAAGAAAGACAAGCTAAGGGTGGCAAAACATGAAAATGGTACACTGTGACAGTAAGACTGGGCACTGTTGGAGTCGCATTTGTGGAACTGCGCACAACAGCAAGTGCTGAAAAGGGTAATTGTACTAAGGGTGGTTTGCAAGTTTTATGTTTCAATAAGATGGTGATGCAACTTGTACAATGTAAACTGTGTACTGATGAATTTCACCATTGAAGATTAAGGCCCATATTATTAATGAATGCCCTGATCACCAATCAATTGTGGTTTGGGAAATTTATAAGTTACAGAGCAAGAGTAATAATTTATAGTTTTTAATAAGAGGTCCCCTCCTATCACCTCTTTTTGCTCTTTTATCTGGGTAAGTTTAGAATTATCAGAGATTGGATCAATGGCTGATGTGAACTTGTATACCCAGCAACTATCAAGCAATTTGTTGGAAAGGGAGAAAGAAGTACAGTCTTTACACTTAAAGCAAATTTCTAATTCTGTACTAAAATATGACTTTACTTTTTCACACAAAGTTGTAACTGCAATCTCTCATGAAATAAAATTTCATTTAACTGTTAAAATACAAATCTCCAAACTGTGCCATCTTGACTGTCAACAGAAAAATAAAGCTTAAAATTTAATTCATTATTACCTTGCACTGTGTGATTCTTATCATTCTTACTTCACTTAGTTAACTACAATTTCACTTGCTTCCTAGTATTAATTTATTTAATAATTTATATGCAGCAGTACAAGAGTTGACAAGATTAAGGCAATAGACTCAAACGCAAACATTTTCATAAGTGCTAATATTGAACATGACTTAAGTAAGCTGTATTTTTCTTAACTAAAATCAAAAACTAATATATGACATGTGATGTGGCTAGATTACTTCTATACTCCAATCTCTGGCCATTTTATGAAACAACATTATGTGTTTCTGTTCATTTAGGAAGAGTATAAATCCACAATCCCACTGCTACTAGCATCTTACTCTCAAGTTTTACTTAACCAGTAGCATTTGGTGTATGGTGTGATGTGGGTGCTCCATCCATTATAAGTGATAGGAAGCCTATTGCTGTATGAAAATGGCCATGGCCTTCTACCAATGACAGAACATCACTGTTCCTGATAACAATATGGGTGATTCTTATTTCTAGAGAACTATACAGGTTGTCACATGTACCTTTCTCCAGCTAACAATCACTACCATGAAAAGCAGTAATAATTTACCTCTAATCTTGCTGAAAACAAATGGTTAAAAAGATTTCTATGCATCACGATAGTAATGCAATTCTTTTTTTTTTCCTTCTATTTTTTCCTTTTTGCGTAGAGGTGCACCATTATTACATACCTCACCCATTTCAATTCTATGGTGTAAGAAACAGAGATACCAAAAAAGATAGTACAAAAACATACAAAATTGTACCAATAACAGTGCATTCTTAATTTTTGCCTTCATTCTTATAAAAGATAATTATGCTAATGGCTGATTTAGTACTTACAGTTCCATCAAAAAGTGGACAGAGAAATATGGCTAGAAATTAATTAGACCTTGTAACTCCCAAGATCTGCATATTAATTCTACCCTCTAGCTGCGACACATTTCCTTGTAAATTGGTTATGAGAATTTGATGTTAGATCAAAAGAACAACTTGATAACTTTGAATATTCTCATTACCAGTTTGCAGGATAATGTGGATTAAAGGGAGAAATTACATGTTAATCACTTCTGAGAGTTAAAGGGTCAACATCATGCAGTATGGTCTTCCAATCTTTCAAAAGGCTAGCAATCAATTATTTCATTAAACCAAAATCTTGTAGAAAAGGATCAGGAAGGAGTCATTTCTTTCAAGAGATAATTTCCACATAGTTCGCTGGAAATAATCCAACAGAGCCATTGGGAGCAACACCTCTCCACCATCCATCATCAATTTGTTCAATATTTGTGATAATATCATCAGGATCAAATGAAATCTCTGTTTCATCACCTGGTTTAATGAAAAAGAAAGACACAATGAGAAACTAGCCCAGAGGGGATACAGTAGCTCTTGTTACAAATCTAGACTTTCACTCAACAAAAAACAGGCACTGTGATTGGTTGATTCTTGGTCATGTGCCCTTGGTCATGTGCCCTTGATCCCGACTGGGAAACAGTTATGCACTTGTTGCCCATGTGCCAAATACAACGGTATGTTTTGGCCATGTGATTGTTCAAGGGAAAGTCTAAATATACAACTAAGCACTTAATGTATGGTCCCCTGGGAAACTAGTTAGTTTTGATTTCCCTGGAGACCTGATCAGGACCCTCCAGGGAAACAAAACTAACTGTTTCCCTTAGGACCATACATTATTTAACTTCTGTAATTGTTCAACAGGTACATGTAATAGCTTTAATAAACAAATAAATGGTCATTCAAGTGAGTGGAATGCAGTTTGTGTAGGTAATAACATGACTTCATGTGCAATGTGTTAATAGGCACAAGTGAATTTTTCTTGTGCAGTTTGAGGTCTTTGAAATATTTACCCCAAATTGCATGGGAAATCATGTTATCACTTATTAATAATTTACATGTAAAAAAACATCACAAAAAGGCCAAGACAGATGAAATTTTGACAGCACGCTGTATTAAATTGTAATTTGCACTCTTGCAAATGCATGAAAAATGCACTCATTTCTAACTATCAGAAGTGGATAATTTTTTCATGTAATATGTTATTAGGTCTAAAATCATTCACATGTTTTCAAAATCAAAACAGTGTACAGTGTGAGTTTGTTTTTAAAATCACAAGTATGATTTTAGACCAAATTGCATGATATGAAGTTCAGTTGGCGCTTTATTACATCCATTCTGAAATAGCAGAATTTAGTTGCTCAAATACATGATTCTAGTCAATACAAATATTTTACTAATCTAGTACTGAACTAGTTTGTAAAAAGAGCATTGTTCAACATCCAAGGAAATCAATGATCATATTGATCCAAGTAGGATTTCAAGGACTTTCAAGGCATGGAAAAAGAACTCTTGAAAATTATGGTTTTTCCAGAGTTTCCAAGACATTGCTAACCCCTCCATTTTTTGTGAGGCAATTAAGACAAAAACCAGACTCCTCAAAACAATCAAATATGAAAATGCATTATTTGAGGAAGCGCACCATTAGAAATGACCAAATGAAGTACTTTCACTTACTTGCTTGGTAGTCATAAACAGCTCTTGCCTGCAGACCTCTGTCCTCCTACAAGTACAAGATATTTAGTTACATGTCTCACGAAGGCATTGGGGTCTAAGTATAGTGTAAGCGTCATACTAACTGCCCACCTACCCCTCCCCTAACTCAACAACAGTCAATTGACAACAACTTAAGGTTAAAGTTGGGTTAGGGGAGGGGTAGGTGGGCAGTTGCCCAGATACTGATATTGATCCAAATAATCATTACAACAAGAAGTAGCCCTCACAGTTACAGTGTAAGCTAATTTTCACACTTCCAATTAACTATTTCATGTAAACTGAAAGGGTTCTTAACTCTTTTAACCCCTGATGGCGACTGCCATCTAGTTTCTTCTTACAGTATCACCTCTAAATAAACTTTATAAAGTTGCAAGAATGAAGGAAATAATTGTGAAGTGAAGAAGCTTTTGATTGTTTGACAAATTCTCCAAGTTAATACCAATATGTTGAGAGAACTGTGGAGAATATGCATACTGATGTTAGGCTGGAAAGGGTTAAATATGGTAAGAGAAATTATATGATCCCTGTGTAATTCTGTGTCTACTGCTTTGAAGTAATCAGAATATCTATCTAGCTGTTGATAATGAACCCCTGCTACCAAAAAAAAAGAAATGATGTGCAAGTGAAACAGGCCCATAATACTTGTACCTCAGCAGCAGGTGGTTCTGGTTGTTGAGATACTTCACTTGAGTCTTCAATAAGCTCCACGTAGTTAGCAGGGAACATGCCAAACCTGCCGTCAGGGCTCCGTCCCTTCCACCAGCCCTCATCAAAGGTATCTATTTCAGTGATTATATCGCCAGGGTCGAAGGTAATTTCCTCATCATTTTCTGAAAAAAAAAAAATAAAAAAAATAAAAAAAGTGAATACAGTGGATATATTACCATGCATATTTACACAGAGCTATATACTATGCAGATTACAAGATAAGATCAAAGGATTTAAGAGCTTCAGTTACCTGGGTATCTCAATTTACAGTGCCAAAAAAATAATACAGATTGAGACAAATTTAATTGAAAAACACACTCTAAATAAAGCTGAAGAACATTCATGGATTGTATATCTATACCAATGGTTTCTTTCAGCTGATTCTACAAACTTTACCTGCTTGATAATCATACAAAGCTCTTGCTGTTTTTCCCTGGCCACCACTTGGGGCTTGAGACTTCAAATGAAGGTAAGAAGTAAAAAATTACTGTATTTTCATTGACAGAATGACACACCTTTTAAAATGCTAGTGTTATTATCTAGAGGGCTCAAGTCAACCAATTACCACTTTGTTAGGCCAATATGTGCACATAAAAAAAAAACACAATAGCCTAGTTTTGGGTGTGTAAGACTCCTAGTGGATGGATTCATGTTTAACACCTGACCTGGATTACTGTTGTGTTTGCAAAATTCTTACAGGGGTTTCAGTAGCAGCTTGATAGCAGGCAGATCTATTCACTTGCAATGAGCTGGCTACCTGCTTGTAACTTTAGTTCATTGGACTCTCAATATAAATGTTCTTCTCTACAAATTTGTTCAAATCAGTTGACTTCTAAGACTAGGAACAACAAAGCAACAAAAAATGGAATGGACCCCAAACTGCCAAAGAACTCTACTGCAAGAGTCATGCCTGGCAAAACTTCCTGGGGGAGTTCAGAGCTCCTTGGGAACAAGAGATCCCTCCAGGACTTTAAAACTAACTGCTTTACCGACTGTAAACTCCTCATTTGAACCCTATTGCAAATGAAACCACTCTGCTAAACACCACCATTGTCTCTATCCACTCAGCAATATCAAAGGCCTGTGGAAGACTGGCATGACTTCAGGGGCATACAAGCATACCTGAGCTGTGGGTGCTGTATCCATGCCCATATTATCATAGAGATCCTCACTTTGCACTGGTGTATCATCCTTCAGTTGTTGTTCGACGGTGTCATAAGCGTCATCAAAATTATCATAAAGGTCTGTAGGTTCTTGTTCCGGTTCTGGTTCCGGTTCGGGTTCAGGTTCTGGCTCAGGTTCTGGAACTGGTTCTGGTTCCGGTTCTGGCTCAGGCTGAGATAAAGCAAATTAAAATGATTTTTAAGACAAAAGTTAATTTCAAAACTGCTATTTTTCAAAAGTCTCTTTCCCACAATGTAACAATTTCTAGCTTAGGGTAAGAGAGCAGAGTTCATGAGCACACCATCTTCTGTCTTCCCAAGAGAAGCAGATTTTTCTGTGTTAACTTTGAACTGGTTTTCCTGCCTAAGTAGAGCTTCAAGCTTAAGCAATTCACTGCTAAATATTTTTGTATCCATGGTTCAATAGCATTAATAAAGTTAAGCAATAAACAATTTAAAAGTACATATTATTTTTTTCCCATAATTAGATAGATCAGGTTTGAATAATGGAAGTGACCCCTGTCACATTTGCGGCAAAATAGATGCTTTTGATTACTTCAAACCATGTAACATACCTCTGTATTACCATATAATACAGGTTCAGGCTCAGGCTCAGGCTCAGGCTCTGCTTCTGGTTCAGGCTCAGGATGATGTGGCCGTACTTGAGGAGGTGGCCTTCTTGCTGGTGGTCTGGATCTGACTGGAAGAGGTGCAGGTGCAGTCCTTTCTTGGAACTTTGGTTTTTCATCCTGACCTTGGCGAATCAGTTGCTCTGCTTCCTGTAAACAATGAGGATTGATGAGAGATCTAATTCAATGGTCACAAGTGCACGACAACAAACAAATCTGAGTTCCCCACAAGAGTTAAAACCTCAGACAATTAAATATCATGGTTGGATTCTCCACCACTGAGCTACTCAGAGTGCTTGGCTCAGCTGGGTTTTAAACCCCTTTCTCCTTACAATATCACTACTGAATGACATATTAATGTTGTGAGGATAAACTAAAGAAACTCTTGATCGTTAGACAAATTCTCCTTGTCAGCACCCTTGTAAATGTACAGAGAACAGTATGGAGAATATTAGTGCTGATGTTAGGGTGTAAAGGGTTAAGAAATGTCGAAATGAGAGTGAAAATCATTGTGTGTGTATTAGGAAGACAAAGAAAGATGGTAAAATTTAGAGCTCTGTCATCAATTTAGGTATTAGATTTTATTCACTTGTCACAAGAACACACTGAAGAAAAGGACTGAAAAATTGTATATTTGGAGGTGCAAATTGCATATTAATTAATTGTCTATAATAATTAATCACGTCCTATGACAGTTCTTTAAAGCATGTTGGTGCTGTACCTTCATCCTTGCTTGCCGTAATGAATTTGCTCTCTCTCTCTCCTGCTGCATTTCCCTCTCATCTGTTACTTGTTGTTGCTCCTAGAGTAATTATTATACAAGTTAATACTCAGTTTTATCAATAACTGCATGCTCTGACATTATTTATATCATCTTTAGTAATCCTTTTCAACTAAGGTTTAAATTACATCCTATGTCTCATAAATTATTAATAGTCAATAGCTTCCTGCAATCATGATCCTTTCCAACTAACATTTAGATATCATCCTACGTCTCAAAAATTATGATCAAAAGCTTGCTGCAATCACAAAGAAAAATTTAAAACAATTTAGAAAATAATCACCCCTTGCACCCTTTCCTAAGCACCCTGAACTGTGGCTTTCAAAATGAGTCCTAATTACACTTAAATTGCTAACTTCAAGAAACCTGTAAAATAAAATAAAGTCAAGTCCAGCTGGTAAAATAAAATAACCCTTTAACTCCCAGAAGTAATTAACATGGAATTTCTCCCTATAATATCCATACATTATCCAGCAAACAGATATTGAGAAAACTCCAACTTATCAGGTAGAAGTCGTTACCTTGATCTAACACTAAATTCTCATAACTGATTCACAAGGAAATGTGTAGCTGCTAGAGAGGAGAATTAACAATCAGATCTCTACATGCTCACCCATCTCCTTCTTTCTTCCTCTTTTTTCCGTTCATCATCTTCCCGTTGCTTCCTCCTGTGTTCATTAATATCATCAAATATCTTGTTAAATAAAATCAAGTCATAGAATTCCAGGGTTTGAGCCAGGCCGCGCCATTGCGCCAATCCCGCAATAAAATTTAAAATGTCCCGTCCAAAAATGATTCAGGGGTCAATTTGTCCCCTAAAAAAGCGAGCGATTTTTGCGACAAATTTTACTGAAGTATTTGTGCCCAAAAAAAAAAATTGCAAGAGTTGAAATTCAACATAAATTCGACTATAAACGGCACAATTTTTCAATAAACAATTTGGTTTTAGCCGCAGAATTAATACGCTAACAGCAATTTTTGTGAAAGATAAGAGAAGCAAGATTTAGATGTTTGTTTTGTCTCATTTTGACAACATCGGAAACTGACCAATCAGAAGCAGTCATTCCCACGGCTTGTGTAAACATTGCAACACGATCTGACAGAAATCGGCTGAGTAAAGCGTTGTTTTTTTAAACTACAAAATTGTGATTCAAAATAAAAGACTTTTAGACTTATCCTGACTCTTCTTCTCCCAAAACCACTTTAGTAGTGTTTCATCCAATTCTGGATACTTTGACAAAATGTTTAAAATTTCGGCTTTTTCCCCCGAAATTGTTGTGAGAGAGGCTTCAGTGCCCAAAACAGGATTTAAAATGCATTGAGAAACAGACTAAAAGCCAACAGGTTAGATGTACTTATGACCATAGACATCGAGGGGCCACCTTCTGTGGACTTTGATTTTTCATTAGCCCTTGAAGAGTGGGCTATAAAGAACAGGACAATTTTGAAATCGTGAAATACTGCTATTATACATGACTTTGTACATGTAAGATGTTAATTAACTAAGAAGGATCTGCAATGAAATGTGGAAGCAAGAACAAATATGATATTGTTAAAATGATAATGGCACGACAGAGTTGTTGGTCTTGTTCTTTTACAAATAGTCACTTTCTTAATTATTTTAGTGGCCATGATCAGCTGCTGGTTGTAAGAGAATCATACAGTTAAGAGTTTACAGAGAAAGATAAAAAGAAGCATGCTACCTTACAATGTAACTTGTTACTATTTCATTAAATGTTTAAAATTTTAGTTCAGTTTGAAATTTTCCCTATGCTTAAGCGACCCTCAGAAATGGAAAATGTCCCCCCAAAAATAAGCTAAAGGGACAAATTGACCCTAAATAGTCAAATCCTAGCTCAAACCCTGGAATTCAATGATGGGAAATGTAAACTGAAAAAAAACTTTATTCACATTTGCCTTGGTACTGTAATAGGAAATCTATAGCTTTATCTCTTTTACTTAACACTGTTAAGCCTTACAAACCCAGGAGTGACCAAATATATATAGTCTCTTTACAATATTATCAAAATATGAAGTAAATAAATCATGAGAATTAAGAAACTTATCAACTGCAGGTCATAGTGTCACAATAGAACACCAGATTCTTGAAAATAGACAACAAAAGGTTTATATGGTTGTGGGTTAGGAGAATTACCTTTCAGATCATGGGAGTGAACTGGGCTAACAAACCATTTACCATTGTCATCGTCTTTTTACAACAAAAACAACCAAAATGGACCATTAACTTAGATCTTGATGTAGAACAACAAGATTGCAAATCCCAGCCACAGTGGTGAAAAGCAAACCCTCTCTCCACTGCAGAAACAATGTTCTGTTAAACTACTAGTTTAATACTAAATAAAGGCAGTATGTTTCTAAAGAAACTGTAGTGCTGCATTGGTACTGGGATAACGCAAGATAATTCAGTTTTATCACCTGAGTTGATAATGTAATTGGCTACTGTAAAGAGCTTTGAAAACTGACGTTTTAGGTGCTAGACCTTTTATCATTACAGCCACCAATTTACATTTATTTATGAACGCGGTTAATAAACCAGTTAAAGACTCACTTTTGTTCCTCAATACTTCTTGATCTCTCTCTGTACTGCTTGTCTCTTTCCTCTGCCTCTTTAGCCTAAAACAGTCCAAAGTAAACTTATGTAAAAATATAAAACATCAAGGTTTAGAAGCTGAGTATGCACAAAACTGAGAATGCTGTTTTGAAAACTGTAACTGATAATGTGTAAACATCGAAAAATCACAGCATGTCCAAATCTTATGCAAGTGAGAAACAATTCAACCTATGTACAATTACTTTTTGGTGATAAGTAGCAGAAAGCAGATAGAACCCTACAGGGCTTGTATGTGTATTTAAATGTACTGTACCCATTGTGTGGGAGTGTGACTATAATTAAATAATATAAATAATGCAATACATAGTCACCTTTAGGTAATCATGTCTACTGTCTCTACTTTGCTTTTAACCCTTTAACTCCCAAGATCCAATTGGTAATTCTCCCTACTTACTGTCATACTTCTCCTTCTAAGTTAGCCAGGAGAATATGGTCTTATTCCAAAATAACACCCTTAGCTGATAAGCTTGTGTGTTCTCAGAAGATGACTTATTGGAATTGCAAGGAAAAGTTACTCATCAATCACTTCTGAGAGTTTAACGGTTAACTAGACATCCCAAAGTAATGCATTCCAATAAATGATTGAAATGGAACTTCTCCTTACAATATACCTACAACATCAAGCAGACAAGTGATGAGAATACAAGACAAATCTCAATTAAGGGATTAATAGTTGATCTGATAACAAATTCCCCAAAGTAACATCATAAGATTTTTCAGGCAGGCAGTAAAGAGAATTACTAGTGCAAGGGTAAAATTATTGTGCGACATCTTTACCTCTCGTTCTTTCCTTTTCCTCTCTGCCTCATTCTTCTGTGCTATGGTTTGCTTTCTCTCCTCTTCCTTTCTTTTCTTCTCATCTTCCTGTTGGAATAAACCATTACAACAAGATGGTGTCAAAAAGTTTTTACAAGTTTAGAAAAAAAAAATCAAAATTTTGTATCATCAGTTGTAATCTAACCACCATGTACAAGTTGTTACTTTAAATCTACTGACAGTGCTGTACACTGCAAATCAATATAATTACATGTACCTCTGATTTTGTCCAAAATTGATCCCTCTTCTGAACATTAATCTCTTGCTGAACTTGTACCCTTTGATAAACAGATCCCTGGTTGCAAAATAACAAGAATTATTATTCCACAATCACATTAGATCAGTTTACCAGGTACTGGTATATACCACAGTAATATGCTGTGGAACCATGCAAAAATAAGAATAGAAATGATCCACAGGCTCTTTGTTTTTTTCCGGTTTTTATACATTATTTTTTCAATGACAAACTTTGAAACCCTCAAGACTTGATTGTTGGTCATCAAGAACACTTGGACATAGTTTCTATGTGTTTTTTTCTTCTTTCATACATGCTTTATGCAATACGTAAGATGCTCAGATAAGACCATATCAAGTTTTGAAAACTACAGTTGAAGCCAAAAGACTAGAAAATGAAACAAAAGTGGAATAATAAATCCCTTATTTAATGGTTTATTATAATGTTATTAGGGGACATTTTGCTCATAGAATGTATTTTTCTTCGCTCCTATGAGGCTTGGAAAAATATTACGCAACTCAAAAAAAAATCCTTGCATATCATGTGTTAAAAACCAATTAATAGGATGCATAGGGCAAAACTAATTATAAATTTGAAAATACAGTGGGTAAAAGTTTCTGAGTTGCACTTATGTTAATCTCCTCAGTTGTACAAAAAGGCTTAAAGTGAGACACATGAGATAAAAAGTAGTAAAGAAAAGAGACAAAGGAAAATGAACCTTTTAAAAAAAAACTCTTCCACTACACCACTCAACTGTTGGTGAACAGTCTTGACTCCAAACTCAAGAATCAAGAATCAAGCTTGGAGGATTCATTCACTAGTTTTTATATTTGAGAATTGAGTCTGAGTATCCATGTTTGGGAGTGAGGATCGAGTTTTGAATTCTTGGATCCAGGTATCCATCCACAGTTTCTAGGTAACAATTTAATTCTTGAATACAGAACAATAAGACTTCTTGGTTAATAGTGGGTACCTACATGTCGCTTGTAAAAATACAATTTCATTGTTTATCACCTACCACAGGGGCAACAGGTTCTGCTGGCCGTGCTTTTTCTTTATGAAAACTGTAATTTGCACCTTGAAACCGAAACCAACCAAACACAAACAGGCACAAAATAAACAAACAAACAAATATCAGATATGATCAATTATCACTCATAACAATTGAGCAAGTATGCCAGCCTAAAATTTTCTATTAGATGGATATTTCTGGATACCAGCCAAGAAAATTTGGAGGAATTTAATAAATCTAGACTTAGCTGGAAATAATTGACCCTAAAGACTGACTAGCATCTATATTTTCCTTGAAATATTATTCCTTAATCACACACCAAGATCATAAAAATTAGGAAGCTCTTGATTCTAACACAAATTCTCCTTGTCAGGATCTTTGGAAATGTATATAGTACAGTGTGGAGAATATTTATATTGATGTTAGGATATAAAGGGTTAACCCTTTAACTCCCATGAGTGACCAAGACAAAAATTTCTCCTTATAATATTCATACAATATCTAGGAGACAAGTGATGAGAATAAAGAAAAATATCAATTATGGGATTGCTAATTGATCTGATACCAAATTCTCCAAACTAACATAATGAGAATTGTTTGGCAGACAGTAAGGAGAATTACTGATGAGATCTTGGGAGTTAATGGGTTAAGCAAATGTTTCCTTCCTTATTTATGTTGTTCTGCTCAAATAGCTTTTCTTCTCTTTTAATAAGTTCTAGAAGAAAGTTTTTTGGGGGAGGGGGTAGGGGTGAAAGAGGAAGGAGAGGGGGGTAGGGAAAGTTGAGACTTTGCAACTTTAGTATTCCATAAAATATCTTCCTGGAGGTTAACTGCAGTTTTCTGACTTACTCACAGGTAAATGTGCTGTATGTACAAAAGTCCTGAACACACACCATTAATATAAAAGTATTGATAACAGTGTGATGATGTACCTGAAGCTTTCTTAACTTTGTCAAGTACAATGCTTTCTTCTACATCATCTGTGGATCTTGCAGTGATGGTTACATGAGCCCCCTAACAGTAAACCATTAAATAAGATCTAATGATGAAAATACATTTAATTACAAAAACATGACATATGTTTCCTACAACCATCAAGAGCACAGAAGAGATGTAATGAATATCTTCCAAAGCAAGTCTTCTTGATGTGTAAATCAAAGGAGAAAAAAAAACTGTATCTAGCTTATCATAAAATACAAACCAAGAATATGAAGTACTGTATGTGTGAGTTTCTTTTAAACCCTTTGATTCATAAGAATGACCAACATCTCATTTCTCTTTACAATATTACCACTGTATCAAAAATTAAGGTGAAGAGAATAAAGGAAATGATCACCAGCCAAAGAAGCTCCTGATTGTTTAACAAATTCTCCTTGCCAGCTCCTTGGAAAATGTATGGAGAACATTAAGGAGAATGGAGAATTTTCACAATGAAGTCAGGGTGAAAAAGGCTAATGTGTTTCCCATATACATAATTATGATACACCAACGACATCTCTATGGTCAGGGTTCCAAATTGCAACCAGCTGGTAGTATATGCAATAATTGTAAATTGAATTTTGGTGACCAGAAATTTAATGCCCAGTAGAAATGCTAATTTTGGATCCTGAAAATGCAAATCTGATTCAATTGCAGACATTTTAACATGACGGTACATGCTAACCTTAAAGAACTTTTCCACATCTCTGACATGATTAGCACAGACACCTTTCCTTGAAGAAGGAACTCCTTCACCTTGCTAGAAAAATAAAAATTATTTTCATTTAAAAATTTTGAATTCATCATTTGTGATCCAAGTAACTTTCTTCATTCTCAAACATGATCAGTTTTTCTTGGTTCATTTTCACAAATTTAGTGATTGTCTACCAAGGAAAAGTAACTTGAACATACTCAACTAACTAAAATACTAAAACTCACTTGTCATTTTTGTCCATGAAAACTTGAAATCACTTTCTGGGCTAAAACAGTTGCTAAATAATTATGTGCACAGAAGGTATTCTACTCTAAAGAGTGATGCTGTACAGAAAAATATCAAGGGTAACAGTCTATTATAAAAATGAAATTTAATGATATCAGATAGATTGAAGCCCATCTTCATTCCTGCTGGGGAACACTGGGTGACAACTGTAGATCTTCATTGGACTCTGCTTTTTGTTTTGAATATATGGTCTACAAATTATGTATGTACCCAGTACAATTAGTAAGTAAATTATAATGTACCCAGTTTATGAAGACAATTTTTGGGAGGTTTGTATTCGGATCCATGACTTTAATAGCAGCATACAGCATTTTTCCTTCATTAAGTTCATCCACCAATTCATCCAGATCACCATCTATTTAAAATAATGCAAAATGTTTGTGTCATGTGTTTGATCAGCCACAGTACAATCAAAGTGCTTTGTTCACTACTTTTTAACCAAAACTACAACAATTCTTGAATGTAATTGGTTATCACCAGCCCAATTTGAGCATGAATAGGAACAGTGTAGACGTCATGCTTGTAATTGGACAGTGTAATAGGACAGTTAACATGTCATGCCTGTATGAGTGGACAGAACACATCATGTGTGTGCACTGTTGTCTCGCATTTTTCCAAGTTTACAGTTGTTGTTGTTGTTTTTTTTTATGAAAAATTATCACAAAGTCCAGTTTCTTTATCCAATTTTGTCAGTTTTGATTTATAATTGGTAATAGCTTTATGGTTGTCCAATTTTGTTAATCACTAGTATGACTACAGACTGAATTGGACTCCACTCTGTCCTATTACAATTATATACAATAAGTCACACACAAGATCTTCCCCCTGCATTTCCAAGTTTTGCAGCATGCAAGAAAGCAATCAGAATTTTAAGCATTCTTTTAAGATAAGAGCATTTAAGTATCAATGGTGAGTTCTACTTTCTAGAGTGACATAAATCACTAGATCATGAGGTGTGATATTTGTAATATACGCACTACCCCTTGCCCAGATGTTCTTCTACATAGAAGAAAGAAACCTATACAAGTTATGTCCTCAAGGCTCACACTTGACACTTGTTGTTCCCAATATCATGGTGGAGAATTTGCGGGGACCAGAGTATGATATACACATCTATCCATGTTGAGAGGAAATTGTTGTTACTAGTTTTTCAGTAACAACAATGGATACTTTTCAAAAAGGCATGTGAGCTCAGAGGAAATTCTGTCTCTAGCATGACCCTGCTTTCCTAGGTTCAACATGGAGTCCTGTTTTAAATGAAAAGCAGTCAATAATTTCAAAGGAGTAGGGTGGGGTTGAGGGAGAGGAAAAGATTCCAAAGGGGGTGGGGTGGGGTTGGGAGACAGGAAAAGATTTTAAAGGGGGTGGGGCTGGAGGGGAGCAAAAGAGCAAGAGGGAGAAAGACGTAGGTACAACAAGAAAATAGCATTTAACTTATTATTATTTTTAACTGGAAGTCCATTGTGATCCTTGATGTAAAAAAATGAACTTAAGAATAATTTGTTGGTTGAAAGCTCCACGTCTGATAAGCTGAAGCTGCAGCAAAAATGTATTGCCTCGCTCAGCTAATCCATGGATGAATACGGCATACGATAAAGTTAAGCTCACAGCGATGCTACGTCGCTAAATAGAAGAAGAAAAGGCCTGAAATTCGAATTTTCATTAATAATCTATGCTTAAATAAGAGGATGGAAAACACACCCTTTCCGTATGCGCTCACGTACAGTTGTTCGCAAACATAGTGCCATATCAAATCCGTGCAGCGCCGACACTACAAATAACTATAATAATAAAACTAAGACTTAGATCTCAATCGCACTTTACCTAGACCATAAGCTAGCCGATTACATCCAGTGTAATAAAAGAGCAATAGCACTTCAAGTTAAGATATATCATGCCAAATCCAACGAAACTTCCGTAATACATACCTCCTGTTTCTACCACTTTCAGATCGTTTGTCTTGCCATCATACCCAAACACGGCCCTGAAACGAGAAAGAATGTCACCAAATTGTTTGATTTGAATGAAAATTTGGATGAAAAACCCACCAGTTGACGTCCGAGCTATCGTCGAAGACCTGTTGCCATGTTTTTCGTAGAGAGTCACCGTTCTTCTTTAGATTGATCGCCATTTTGCGTCTGTCACGTGACAAATTTAGAATGACAACCGTGCAGGATCTGGGATAAGGCTGAAGAGGGCGTGGTGGGGGAGGGGTAAGATAACCTCGAGGGGTTGACGGGATGTTTTAGAAACTTTCTGTTTCAGTTGACTTTGTGACGGAATATGCGGAAATTTTGATCGGATGATCATGAAACGCATCCTTATTTTTCTCTCTCTTTTCACAAACAGTTGTTTTAAGACAGTATCTTTCAGTGGTCTATCGTATTGTGTATGTGTGGGAAAACAGATTTAGCTATTAACGAGATCGAGATTTTTCATCCAGTTTTACCACAAATACAAAATGGTCTGTTTGCGAGGGGATCTTCAGCATTTTGCTCTATGTGAAATGTTACAAGCAGAATTTAAAAAATATTTTGAATAATCTGTCTTGTGTGTAACCCTGTAAATTACTCGCTAAAAAGGTAAATGCATAGGAAGACTTATCTGTGCCATAACTTTATCTACCAAAGGACAAAAGGATGGCTAATTTACCTATCCAAGCACTTTGGATCATTTGCAGAACTAATAATAAAACTGATTTTTTATTCCTCATCATTTACTACAGCAGTAAAACAGTGCCATATCACATTTTTTACGCTTTTTGCCTTCGTCAGAGAAAAATATCTATTTTACTTTTAATTTTATCTTACAGATCTGGCAGCCAATCAAAAGGTTTAACATTTTCTATACAAGTACTCAGAATCTAAAGGTGGTAAATTCTTTTCCATTACATTCTCTCAAACTTTCTTTGTGTCATCAGTCAGATATTTTTCAATGATGTCAAATGCCTTCCTTGCTTTACTCTTAATCTGTCTCCTGGAATAGAACGTTTGTCAATTGGTGTTACTACAAAGTTGAGAACCTGAGCCTGGTTTTCTTCATGATGAACTGTGCTGCCTTTCACAGGTTGTGCATAGTACACTCTATCAAGCCTGAAGTCAATAAACAAAAAGATTAACCATTGTTAGTACTAGGTCTATAAATAAACAAAAAAAGGGAAAGAACCACAACAAAGTTTGAGCTGGGGAGGGGGGGGGGTTCTTCTTGATAATTTTCTGGGGAGTATGGCTGAATGGGGTTGCATTTCTCAGGACTGGAGTAACTATTATGGGTTTGCATTTTCAAAAGAAGGCCTTAAAAGTCTTTATGAGGTAAATGGATAAACAGAGTGTGATTAAGATTGGGTCTCTAACACACAGCATAGACTATAATGGGGAAGGGGTTCTGAAAGGCTAATAGCACAAACTTAGGGAAAATTAACCCAATGTTAGCATTTCATTTTTGGATTTATTAAAATGGGGTTTGATTTTTAATGGTGTCCACAAAATGGTCATAATGTTGAGCAGAGTTTAGGTCTGAGTGTACACATTTATTGGATCAATATCAGTATCTGGGCAACTGCCCACCTACCCCTCCCCTAACTCAACAACAGTCGATTGATAACAACTTAGGGTTAATGTTGGGTTAGGGGAGGGGTAGGTGGGCAGTTGCCCAGATACTGATATTGATCCCATTTATTTGTAGACATGGTTGAGATCTTGTGGCTATAAAGACAAACCCCTATCAAGTTTCTCCCTTAATCTGACCTCTCCTCTCCCTGCAGCATTCTTCATAATTGCTTGTCATTCTAGTAATACAGTACAACACATTCCCAGAACTGTTGAAATCCCAATGTCAGCAAGAGCAAGTGCACCTTTAAAATCAAAACTGTTCAAAATTTGCTTACTTGCTCCACCAAATTGTAGCACCACACATTGGGCATGGTTCAAAGTTTGTGTACAAACTACAGCCTGTCAGTTCAAATGTTCCCAAGTTTTTCCCTGCATTTCGTATGGCCACAACTTCTCCATGTGCACTTGGATCACAATCAACAAGTACTCGGTTGTAGCCTTCACCTGGAAGAAAAAGAGCATTTGTTAAAAGTTTACCAAAAAACTGACCAATGGATGAAGCTATAATAAAAGCCAGGCTGGTCAATGCAATAAAAATAGGAAAGTTTGTAGCAAGGTTAAAAAAAAAATCCCACATTCAAGAATACTACAACCCCAGTTATCTGGGCTCTCTATGCAGGCTGCTCTGTTTACCTTTTGACCCTTACTAGGAGTTATGGTTGGCCTTGAATTTTCCCTGATAGTAACACCTCTGACTCACTTGTTAAGGTCGCAAGAATAAAATGAGAAATGATCGCCAACTAAAGAAGTTCTTGTTTGTCAAAAAATTCTCCTTGTCAACACTTAAGGAAATGTATGCAGAACAGTATGGAGAATATGCATACTGAGGTAGGGTTTTTTTACTGACATAGAGAGAAACTGGGTGGGGAGGGGGCTGGGGAGTTGGTGGGTTGATTCCATTTGGTTCTGGTTTGTCATACTTCACAATCTCAATAAGTCGCATGTGCACTGTGTGCCCCCCGCCCCCTTCGCTCCTGCTTGTGCCCATGAAGCTGCCTGATCATCGGGTTAGGTAATGGTGTAATTAAGGGAAGTTTTCCCTACCATAGAGACTGCTTTGAAAGTCTGAGACTGTCAGTAAAGTCGGCGTTTAGAACCACGTTAAAGTTTTGCTGTTTGCATGAAGACAGGAAGCTGGGTTGCGAAAGAAGAAATAGCCATCGTACCAACAATCTTGCCATTTTTGACAACCACGGCTCCATATGGACCACCATGTCCCTTGAATGCTCCTTCCGCGCTGAGCTCGATCGCCCGAGACATGAATCGCTCCTTTTCTTCTTTTGTAGGAGCGTATGTAGACATCTCTAGCTACTTCTACAGGTCTTAAAATGAGCAATTTAGCAATCAACGGTTTAAGGGTAAACACCGCTACGACTTCAGCTGATTTTCACCTGACATCCGTGACCTACGCGCGATTTGTCTCCGTTAGGTCCCAGTTTCCCAATTGAATAAAACTGTCGATTTGAAGAGCATGTCACGCGGTAACGTATTTTTCTTACTAACGGGGAATTATCTCGGTAACATCACGTTGTCATGCCAAACGAAGTAGATCTGTGAAATTTCACAGGAATATGTGGAAAACTGATGAAGGAAGGAGCTCCCGAAGTGATGCGGAGCATGACAGAGGAATGCTGCCCAAAGGAATCAACTGCGAGACGTAGGTCTTGATGTTGTAAAAACTTTAAGGCTGGAAAGTTGCAATAAATAAATAAATAGATAAATAAATAAATAAATAAATAAATAAATAATAATGATAAGAAAAATAAGAAGATGGACAGGTTACGAATTTCCAAGTACACCGCATAATAATCACTTTGAGTAATCCCAGATTTGTTGAAGTTTGAAGAAAAACAAAAAGTAGAAGGGTAAATGGTGAGGGTGGGGGATGGGGAATGGACCCTTCATTGAAAGCTAACCAAGAAATAGCAAGTGAAATTTTTAGGGGCGTTCTGAGGTGAGGGAGTTAAGGTGATCTGGTCCATGTTGAGAGTTAAAAAAAATTGAAAGGATCTCGTTATTCCTGAGTACTCCTCTAAAGGCAAGTAGACATTGAGATAAAGCCTCTTTCAAATGAATTGAGAAAACATTATTCATTCAGATCTGTTTTTTTTTTACAATTTATGAAGTTCCTACCCTAAATTTATATTGACCCTTTGATCCCTATGAATGACTAGCATCTAATTTCTTCTCACAATATCACCACTGAATCACACTTTTAGTGTCACGAGAATAAAGGAAATGATCACAACTTAAAGAAACTCTTGATTGTTTGACAAATTCTGATTTTTAGACAAATTTTCCTTGTCAGCACCTTAGTAAATGTCTAAATAATATTTTATAACAGCCATATCAATTCAACCTTCACAACTCAATTTCTTGTGTCAGTCCTTTTTTTTTTCCCTTGCATTAATCGTCCCACAATCATTCATCATGATCCAATGATGTATCATTGTCACTTCAGTTGGTCATGCAATCATATAACACTTCACAAGTGACCACATTGCCACAGTGTGTGCAAGATAATGTCGCATTTCCATCAGTGTGCCTCATTTTTTTTGGTCACAACAGATAATAAATCCATTTGGATCATTTGCCCATTTTTTAATGACATCATATGCCTCCTTGCTCCTGACTTGCTCTGCTGGGGTAGACCGCTGATCAATAGGTGCGGCAACAAATTGAAAAAGTGGTTCTAGGTCCATGTCACTCTTCGTGTCTTCCAGACGATTTCCATAATACACACGGTCAAACCTTGAAGTGAGAAGAAGCCACATGAAATAGTTTTGGAATACATGACCTGGTTCATAATCCCTGTCAGAGCCAGTTACTCTGTACATTAAGTTGAGTTTAATTACTCCTAACAGATACTTAATCTCATTTTTGGCCTGTATTGATTAAATGAAATATAAAGTTCTGTCTGACAGCTGTAGATTATTTGAACTTGACTTTGAAAAACAAAATGGACTATGAAGTCACTGCACATTGACTGAAAATGCCACTGTGTGGCATGCTACTGGAAGCAGTTATAAGAAATGAAATGTTGATGTTTTTCAGTGAAGGATGTCACTTGCCTCCTTACCCCTGACTTGCTCTGCAGGTGTATAACACTGATCAGTAGGAATGGCAACATAGTAAAACAGTTAATCCCAGTAGAACACGATCTAAAACAGGTCTGATATTCAGGTCAATCACTCACCTGCAAAGCCAAATGGCTGAAGAGCACATCGCACAGGGTTCACAGCTTGTGTATATTTCACAGCCACTGAGATCAGTTGATCTAATATTCTTACAAGCTTGTCGAATGGCTGTCATTTCTCCATGAGCTGTTGGATCATAGTCAACTACCTCCCTGTTGTATCCTTCCCCTGAAAATAGCCAATTAAATGAATAATTTAACCCTTTACACCCCAACATCAGTATCCATCTTCTCCATACTCTTCTTTAGTTACATTTCCTAAAGTGCTGACATGGAGAATTTGTTTAACAATCAAGAACTTCTTTAGTTGGTGATCATTTCCTTTGTCCTTATGATCTTAACCCTTTAACTCCCATAAGTGACCAAGAAAGAATTTCTCCTTACAATGTCAGTACAATATCAAGCAGACAAGTGATGAGAATAAAGAAAAATCTTAATTAGGGGATTATTGGTTGACCTAATACCAAATTCTCCAAAGTAACATCACAAGAACTATATGACAGACTGTAAGGAGAATTAACAATGAGATCTTGGGAATTAAAGGGTTAATGATTGATTCAGGTGTGATACTGTTGCAGAAATAAGATGCTCGTCACTCTCAGGGATCAAAGGCTAAGAATAAATGTAAATAAGGAAGTAAGTGTACTGTACATTAAGTAGATTACAAATAAACAAGATGATGAAAGAAAGAAAGAAAGAAAGAAAGAAAGAAAGAAAGAAAGAAAGAAAGAAAGAAAGAAGGAAACAGTTATGGGTTGATAGATGATAATGATATTTGTCCAAATAGATTATGAATGAATAACTAAAGAAAATATATGTCATACCAGATGAATAGGGGGCATCACGAATTATCTTTTACTTTTATAGGTGGTCAGACTGAGGTCATTTAAACCACAGGCAAACTTCTAAGTTAATACCAAGATCACACCCACAACAAAATGCTTTTCCATAAACATTATACAACTAACAGTAGCCCACAAGGTCATGTATAGTGTTGTTTATTTTTTCGGCTTACACCGTCAGATCTCGAGTTCTAACGCGAGATCTCGACTTATGTCACGAGATCTTTCCTTAAAACGCGAGATCTCGCAGCTTACAACACGAATTTTATTACAAGATCTTGACGTTTTATACCTCGGGATCTCGAGTTATATCTTACCATACATGACCATAATGGGACACCATAATACAAAGAGCAAGTCGCAAAGCATTGTCATACTTTGTCTCTCACAGCTGTGTAGATCTGGTTTTGATCCGATCTGCTGAAAACTATTAATTAAATTAAGTTACCAATAATTTTTCCATCTTTCACAATAACTGCTGCAAATGGACCACCATGCCCCTTTGATGGTCCTTCATCGCTGAGTTCGATTGCTCGACCCATAAATTTCTGTTTTTCTTCCTCTGTCGGTTTTTGAGACGACATTGAGCTGTACAGTTCTTCTGCATGAGAGTGTTTATGTCAGAATAATGAACTAGGATGGGGGGATCGGAGTTGGGCTCAGTAAGGGCATGTCAGGGCCATACGGTAATACAAGATTGGTCAGCGGTCGGCAATGAACTGCAGAAGAAGTAAAAGATGGGCCAGAGGAAAAATGAAAAATAGACAGTCAAAGACGGCATGTGGCTACTGGTATAGCACAATTTTCATAGCATTGAAAATAACTAGGGGTTGTATGGTCACGCTATTTTTTACATAATTTTTTGGAACTTTACTTTCTGGACCATTTATTACCCAGGAAGGGGTGGGAGACAGTTGGTACTCGAGGTACTGTATAAGGTGTAGATTGAAAAAATCATTGCTTATTTCCCCACAACCCACACATTTTAACTTTATTTGTACAATTCAGCTTTTTTCCTTTTTGCGAATTATTTTGATCTGGCCTGCAGTTATAGTTAGCAGCCACTTATCAACCTTGACTGTTTCAGAAACTGGAAAGAGATTTCGTTTTGTGTCCGTGTCATTGCGAAAGACAGAGGTTTTCTTGTTATTGTCTCTTAGAGGGCTTACCGTAAATTGCGAGACGAAACGAAATGAAAAACTGTAATTTGTGAAATTAACTCAAAATCGGTGATTTACAAAAGGGGAATACGAAATTTATGAACTAGAAATCGGTTTTTCTCGAAAAAGGTAATTCTGTAATTTGCACTTTTGTGGAATCAATGCACTAGCTATGTGAAAGAGAAATGACGCCATAAAGCCACCCCTCCCTGCGTAATAATTGTCTCCCACCCCTCCCAAAGTAATAACAGTCTGCTTCCCACCCGTGCCTGAGTACTGATAGACTGTATATTGTATCCCATCCCTCTCTGAGTGCTAATGGTCTGCCTCTCCCCTCTCTGATAGTAGATAAAATGGTCCAAAAAAAGAAGTCCAAAAAAGAAAAAAGGTCCAAAAATGATCGTTCAAAAAAAAATAGTCCAATGGTCCAAGTGTCCAATGGTCCAGTCCATGCTTCATTCTATGCCATTACTTACCTTGTTGCACTTTTCTTTAGGAGTGAAGATACACTTTAGCCGCTTTTCCTATTCTGTTCTCCATACCTGATCAGACTTAAACCTGTTCAGAAAAATGGAATAAAACTTATTTAGTGCCCATAAAGTACTTGTTATTGAAATGAGTGCAAGGTAATTAACAGCGCCGACGCGACATCTTGTAAATTGATGAAAACCTATTGTATGCTATGCAAACAGTTTAGTGAGAAGTCGCCTGACACAATAACCACAAATTAACACATAATCAACAGACAAGGAGCACAAACGATCTGGTATTCCACTCAAGACGCGCTGACATGGATAAAGCACAAGCTTGTGGCGATGGAGCGAAGAAACCAATTTTGGTCAAACTTGTGCTTGTGGGAAAAGTTGGTGTTGGAAAATCAGGTAGAACTAAGCATAACAGTCTGTCCTCTGTCCAATGTGTTTAATTTTCACGCATTTTTCAACACATATACTTAAAGTTATGTGCTTTGTTATTCTTCATATCTTTTGTCCCTTTTGCACACTCTCTTGTTAGCTTAAGTAACAATATTTTGCGGCGAAAGCTCCGTACATGTATATTAACCTAGCTGGTTACAGTACGTTTGAATTCCGTTTGAATTTCTTTCCAGCAATGATCGTGAGATTTCTAACTAAGAGATTCATAGGAGAGTATGACCCCAACGTCGGTACGTATGTAGCTCTAACTCTGTTTATTTTACAAGTCCTACAACCTTCACAAGTAACCGACAATTCATAAGAAAAAGCCTCTAATGGAACAACCAAGAATTTGTGTTTACACATGCAATCACCAACGCGAAGCTGTCATGGCCGGCAAGCAAGCCATTGAATTTCCAATTTTTGGCTCGCGCGATGCTCGAGCTATCTTCAAATTCTGAAGAAACAAGATTTTCTTTCATTTAGTCTTTTGACTTGTGCCGAAAGAGAAAAAAGAATTAACATACATAAGCCGTAGCCGAGGCTTCTTTTATCAATATTTATCGGGTATTAGTAGCGCCTTTGTTTAATGTTAGAGGTCAACTTAAATCCATTCAGTGTCGGATCATGACGCTCTTCGGGTACATCAAATGATTAAATCGAGTTGGTTATCGGTTTTCTACCTTAAAATGACTGAATGTATCTTATTTTTACAGAACATCTGCATAATTTGTCGTAATCTTACGAAACACTTTTCACAGCTAAATTTTAACCGGATTGATTTTGAGGTTATTACATTTTGTTATGGTACGATGTTTATATTCAGGCGGTGATAACCATTTCTCAATTCCGTGTTAAGCCGAGATAAGTATTGTTGTACTAGAATTTCATGAAAATTAATTCTTTCCTTCTGTTTGAATATGATGATGGCTAGTTAGGAGTTATCTCGCACAGTTGACATTCGCAGTAGTACTTTGTGCAATTTTTTTTGTCCAGCAATGATATTCAAAAGATTTGCTGGACGAGAATTCTGAATGTTTAAAGCCAGAAAACTTGAAATTTGATTTGGTCCAAATTTGCAGCGGGGTTCTGTTAAGCCAATTGATTTCATAGCCATAAAACCATTCGACAGATACATGGTTAATGTATCGAGTGAATAAATAAACAATATAGATTTGGTCCCATTCAACAGCCATCGATAAGGTTTATCACTTGCTAAATCGGCGGATCTTTAATCAGCTTAAATGTGCTTATCACGATTCAGTCTTATCGAGGGTTCGTTGGAAAGATGTGTTCTGTTCCCTCGACGTAAAACTGATTGACAATGTAAGCCAGGTAAGGAAGGAAAGTACTAACCCTATGGCGTATACGCCTCCATTATCGCTTTTGTATTGCACCAGGGCACTTGTTAAGTGAACGATTTGTTTAAATAATAATCAATTACGTGCAGATTCGTTATATAATCGCTCCAAATGGGTTTATCTGAATGGTAGGCCTTTAACGCCTGTTTTTCTTTCCTGCAAATTATTGTTCAGTGGGCGTGCGTGTTTTTTCATTTTCCAAATTTCTTTAGGTTCAATATATCACCATCATACTAGACTGGAAAATCAAGATGTCCGTGTGGAGATCCTGGAGTCTGGAGGCAAGGTATGGAGTGACAAATAGAACACTTGTGCGTGCGCGCCGTGCTGTAGCAGTCGTTTTACAGAGAAAATGACCAGTAAAAATGTAGCCTTTTCCAGGCAAACCTCCCTGACCTCTTGCTAGCATTCTTGGTACCCATTTACGCTCTTTCTTCTCGTTCAATTATTTCTCGTCTCTACTAATTGAGACCATCAAGGAAAAGTGCAAGCGAGAGTATATGGAATATTTTGAGAAAGAAGAGTAGTAAATTTATAGTGTGAGGGACGAATGGAAAAAAAAAAAATTTTTTTTAAAATCTGGGTACTTAAGAAGGCGTGTGTTTATAATCCTACGATTGTAGCAGTGTGCTATGACACCGATCTTCTTAATGCCTTCTTTTAATGGTGCATCTGATTAAAATTATTTCTAAAAATGACTGAGAGTGTGATTTTTTGACCCTCATCCTATGATAATACACTGAGAACGTTCGGAAAGGTCCTTTGAAAGCTGTTATTATTACTATTAGTGTAATAATTGTTAATAGTACTATCATTATTTAAAAATGTTTGAAGCGTTTGCTTCAAGGGCAATTGTGCTCGCGCTCAGTTAAATTAACTACACTGGCCGTAGGTAAACTGATAAAAATAGAAAAATCGACGGACGAGATGTGATAAAATTGTAAATTGTTAAGAATCCCTTTGATAAGTTTGAACTCAGATAAATGATTTTAATTCAGTTCATTGGGGGAATTAACAGAATCATAATTATACAACCAAACTTTATTCTTGTCTAAAAGAGATGATCACAGAGCCTACACGAGTGGGGCTGGTATCTGGATGCTAGTTAGCAGCTCAGTTACCTTTATGGGACAGTGTTTAATGTAACTGACGCCTGTAATCGGTCAAATGGAATAGCGTACGTAAAGATAAACCAAAGGATCTAAATCCTGTTTCAGACGTTCAGTTAAGTAAACGAGACGTGGCAGTAAACGGCGCGATACTAGGGGAGGAAAAATGAGGAGGCTTGGGTCGAGTCGGTTCCTTAACCGACCCGATCCAAACCTCCCAGGTTTTTTTTGCACTCCTCCGCTGCTACTGCACCGTTCACTATTTCGCTTTGTTTACTAAATGGAACAGGCTTCGTAATCTAAAAATTGATAATCGTTTTCTCATGGTTGATGTAGGACTATATTGAGAAAAATGACGTCCATGCTCTGTGGGGAGACGCGTTTATTCTGGTTTATGCAGTGGACGATCGAACAAGCTTTGAAGAACTTACTGGTGCTTGGAATCATCTGGAAAAAGTGCGAGAAGCTGACCATCCTGTTCTGGTGTTGGTTGGAAATAAGAGAGAAGTAGGGAGTGACCGAGTTGAAGTGTCGAAACAAGATGGAATTCAGCTTGCTGAAAAACTGAACTGTTTGGCCTTTCACGAAGTTTCCACGAAGGCGAGCTATCAAGACATCGAATTCGTGTTTATAGAAGCAATTCGAGAGACAATGAAGTACAAAATGACTCAACGGGTTCTGAACGGGGCAAGGAGATCATCTCACAGCAAAATTATGGAAATGGTTGAGAAGAACGTGAGTCGAAACAGGGCCATGTCAAGTGTTAAGGAGACCATAGACGAGTATTGCGCTACACGAACTGAGGAGCTCACCCGGGATTTGTCACGCGATCGGAGCAGCACCTTTACATGATATGCATAGATCGAATAATGTAAGTTTGCTCATGATTTGCTGCGTTACTGGTAGAGATCAGGAGCATCACCAGTAAGGAAAAAAGCTAGATGAGTGAGCAAGTTTTGACAACATATTTCAAGTTTCAAATCTTGCAGGTATTGAAGTTGATTTGTCCAGAAGATTGCGTTTGATGAGTTATGTGATTGTTGGGAATTGATTTAGCCGTCAATAACCCGCCCAATGGACCCGAAAATGTTTGGGTGTGAAATAGGAGAAAAAGTCTTATTCTAGAAATCACTGCGTTCCGGGAACTCAAGATGCATGCTGCATTAAAACATTAAATGACTAACTACAGGAAAAAAATGTACACGAACGATGATTAGAAGAAACAGTTTAAAAAATTGAATGAGGTAATGCGATATATTAAGTATAGGCAATCACTCGAAGATGTATTTTTCAAACATCCCCCCCCCCTTCCCTGACAAGTTTAACATACGGAATCATATATTTATACAGTGTTTTATTGGCACTTTTTTCTTTCAAAGACCAATTAATTACCAACTGTTTATAGATTCTATACAAATTAACAAACCTAAAACGTTACTGTTCAAGTAAATAATTTCATTTCCAACATTTTGTCTAACATGTCAGAATACCCTAGAGCCTTGTGTATTCTGGATTTGGTCTCTTGCTTTTTGCAGACTAAATTAATGCCTAGCATATAGACAAGAAAAGCATTATTAGTTCGTATTTCTGATAGAAATCTTTCTCTACCCTAGGTCTTTGGAGTGGGAACGAGCCAAAAGAGGAAAGATTTACAGGAAGGAGAAGCGAAACACGTAGGCGTTCCCTTCGTCTTTTGCACACCCACTTCATTGAGCATGGAGATTTCTGAGTACTGCATAGAGCTAATTGCCCGGAAGGAGTTTCACTAAAGAATCTAACATATGAGCAATGGGGAAGGTTGCTGTAACCTGCGCAGCAGATGAGTTTGTAAATCGTGCGCTCCCAAAAACTATGAACTGTGCAGACTAAGGTGGTGATAAAATTTCCAAGCTTGTCTTGTGGGGGATCTTTTTATAATTACTTCCGGCTACAGTTAAATTAGTAGCAGAAGAAAACTGAAAATATTAATACACGTTTATACACAGGTTATATCGATTCAGATCGTAATCCATAAACTACGGTTTTCTTCATCCTCAAATGGGTGAAGCTCCATATTACATGTTTATACTGCATATTTCGCGTGGATTTTACTTGATCCTACGCGAGGTCCAAGTTCTTTGATTTTCAAACTCAAATGTCTAAATTTAAGAAGTGTCTATTTCCAGATATCTGAAGTTGTCTGGGTTGAGACTCGTATACAAGAGTCCTTTAAAAGCGAATCCTCTCGGATGCAATGAGGAAACCGTGTTGTTTTATATATTCCCTGTTATTTTCCTCATCATCCGTATAAATGCTACGTGCGTGGCTAAATTTCCCAGAGACATAAATTCTGGGCGTTTCTTTCCAAGCCAAGCTGATTAACAGGCAACAGCCTGTGTAGACTTTCTTCTAAAAGGCATTGTCTTCAATCCTTTGACCTTTGCCCAAGAAGACGGAGACTTCATTTCTTTATGTGGAGAAATCATGGGGGTCGGGGAGTGAGCAGTGGTAATTGTGCCAGCTGGATCTTGCGAAGGATGCGCGTTTAAATATTGTCTCAAGATCTCATTAAACATGTTTACTGTTTCAGCAAAACTCTCGGAAATTGATATCTCGAAGAAACCACAGTTGAGGGAATAGGTGAGTCTTGAGCCGTCTGTCTCGCGAACGCTTCTGAAGTGTTCCAAATCGCGCTTAGTTCCCGCGATAATTATACTGCTGGAGTCCAGAGTTCTGTAACGTCTTATGTACTTGACGATCTTACCGGCTTCTTGAAAACTGGTGCGGTCTGTGATGGAGTAAAGGACAAGGAAGATGTCTGCGTACCCAATGATGTTCTCAAGCTTCTCTTCCGAGTTCTAAAAAAAATGAAGGGAGTAGTCAATCTTTGTCCTTCCCACCCCTCTCTCTCTCTCTCCCTTGTTCTTGCCTAGGGAGTCTGGAGACGAGGTATCCTCTCATGCAGTTCTGTGTAATTAACTGGAAGATTTACCTTTCCTGCTGTGTCCAAAATGTCCAGTGCAACATATTCTCCATCCACGTCGATGTGGTGTCTATTGGTTGTTTCTGTGAAAAGAACCAACAAGCTATTACAACGCAGAAGTTTTACAAAGTTTATCAGTTTTCTTGAATCTTTGTGCAGTGGTTATTGCAGCTACTTCAGACTAACGTGTCTTTTCCCGATAAGCTAGCGCTTGTTGCAAGAGATTGGTGAGAAGGACGTGTATCTTTTTAGAAACAGAATTTTGATTGTTGACACTTTCAGCTCTCGCAAGAAAGCTTTTAAGTTCAGTCTGGCCTGTTAAGGAAAGCGAAACCTATTAAAACGATCCTTATCGAAAAGCGGAAGGTGGTTCAGTCTGGGTGATTCATTAAGTGGGATTATTTACCGATCAAGACCTCTTGATTATGCATCTAATATAACCAGTAAAAAATCAAATTCAGACATGACATGAAATTGCAAAACTTGATGGAAGAACCGTTTTCAGATGAGCAGCTGTCTTAAGAAGCGGCGGGAATTTTCTTCTGATTTGCTGGAAGCAATTCAAAACGACCAAGTTATTCAGCGTAGGTGGAAACTTGCCGTCAAAATATTTTGAACCGTTGATGCGTTGCCAGTACAACAGAGGAGGAACATAAATTAATAAACAAATTAAGTTGGTAACAAACAGCTTCAGTTGCTTCGAGGCAAAGTTTACATCAAAGCCTTAATTTCAATCTATGCGAATTTTTGCAACTCACAGTATAACTGTCAATTCTATGTGAAAATTGAAATTTTTTTGGAGACAAAACCAGATTTTCCCTTCAACATGTGCAGTTCGCTCACATCACGTTCTCAAAATATGAATGCAAGTTGAAAAGGAAAATATGGCACAGAGTTTCATAAATTTACTCGAAGTTTCTTTTGTTTGTTGCGTGTCTTGAACTGTACTGCTCACGAATTCGTCGCTGAAGCATAACTTTCCCGCAGAGGGACAACTTTGGACTACAATGGAGGCAGTTTCCTATTTAGGAAAAATTACGTCAATTGCGAATCTAGGGCGGCAAGTGATTAAATGACTCCTATGGTTATGCTAACATGACCAACGCGGCTTGAAATGATTTATACGTTTGCTCTGTGTACTGACGTATGAAGACGCGAGCAATGAAGCAAACGCTTTTAGCAAAAAACCCTGCGCGCGAAAAGTAGCGAATTGATCATCGTAGATGAACTGCAAGTGAAGAAATTGTAAAAAGTAAAATAACTGTAAAAGAATACAGACTTAACAGGCACTAGCATGGTCCCGTGCCTTCAAGATATTCTGTTTTCTTTTCTCGTGGTACGAAGACATATGCCTTGCACGAGGAAAATTCTACTTCGCTATTACTTTCCGGAAAGAAATTTAATCACAGCCGTTGAAAGTTCGTTAACTATACCCCGTCTACATCAGATATGCTTTTAACCGGCAGGAAGAAGAAATGAACCAAAAATAAAATCACTTACTTACCTAACGTTTGGTCGTATTCTCCAATAAAACGCTTTGTTAGGAATCGTACCGTGAGAGCTACAATGTAAAAGTATTTTTTTTCCTCATCAGTTAGGATCATTATTGGAATTGATAAACAGAAAAAAAAAACAATAAACACTGAGAAGTTCTCACTGTGAGCATACTGTTGAGGAACACATCTAAATACATTGATAGTTCTTATCCATGATAAGCCCTCGGTTGAGGGAAAATGTGATTTTTGAGAGTCTGACGAAATTAAAAAGTGACAAACAAACGTAAACAGATGAACCGACAAAAAAAATATTCATGACCTAATAATAACATTGTAATGAAGAAGATGTTTGAATTTGTATTGGATTGGTTAACCCGTTAATTTCATCCATAAGGGTAAAAGCGATCAATCAGTGAACCTTTACATAAAGAGATCATGGAATCTTTGTTGGACTTTGTATGTGCGTGGCTAAAATATCTAATCCTAGACTGAAAGGCAATTTTTCTTCCGCTTCTAAAGACTTGTTCCCGGAATTTAAAGCTACGATACGTTTTTATCACTGATGCTTCTGTCCTAAATATTGTGGGAAGTTTGTTCATGCAGGAATCAAGGTGAAAATTGATTAGCGACAAATAACGGAAACAAACAAAGCTCAGACAAGTGGTTTTGAACTTGTGTATGATGATGTGTACTTGAGGGCTCCATCGAGCAGGAAACCTCAAATATGAGATTGCCGTAAGTTCCGCCTGGTTTCTTATTTACAAATTGCGATCGTCTGTTCATTGCACATTAAAGAGTCAGTTTGTTAAGGTTAAATTTTACACAAGACACTTCAAAAGCAAACTTCAAAATCTGAACTCAGACTACTGCAACCGCGACCAAACTATAAATTTCGAAACGTGTTTCCATTTTGAAGTCACCTTTCCATGTAATCTTCGAACTTGGGTCATTTGTAACCGAAGAAAAAAACAATTTTAAAAATTGTGGACAGTTTTGTTAAAGAGCGAGCTTTTGCAAAGCATGTGTAACTTCAAATTAACACTCAAATGTACGTTGCGTGCTTCAACTTACCTGTTTTTCCGACGCCGTCTTGGCCCATCACGGCAATTCGGATGTTGCGCAGGTTAACTTGATTGCTATAACCGAGTTTTCGTCTCTGCTTCATGGCTTGCCTGCTAGCGGAGTCCTTGTCCAATGAATCTGAGAGAGGCACAGACCAGTGTTAACGACGTCTGCCTAAATTTAGCGAGTCGTCAACAGTCATTGTTTAATTGTGGCTTGCTGCCTATAGCCAGAGGCAATAAATTCTTGATCTCACGTTGCCCTTCTGAATTTGTCTGTAAATATTGCATGTTTTTAGCGGAATGCCTTAAAAAAAGTAAACAATTTAAGCTTCCAGAAACAACTGAAAATCACTTGAGAATAATTAAGTTATCAATTCGAGGACAACTGACATTTTTTTAAGCTATCTAAAGTTGTCTTCTGTCCAAAGAATATTTTGAAATTCTCTTGAATGCCCATCTCTGATCAGTCATTTAGCACTTGGTACGATAAGAATGGAGTCAATTACAATAAACCAAGTCGTCTTTTTGATTTTATCAATCCTTAAGCTCTCCTGAATGAAAATTAACATACGCGTAAAAGAATCAGAGAAAAATGTATTTAAAATAATCCTTTTAAGAGTCCACCGCTTTCATTGACTTCCGCACTAAAACATCTTTCTAAATTACTACGGTTAGCAAGCATGACGTAAACACCCTCACAATACTAGAGCTTGCTCGCAGGCTGAACAAACGTTGGTCTAGGTATGCACGCTACGTTACTCGATCATGATTTACAAAGGACGGGGCAAGAGTTGACGATGAAATTTTCGCAATTGAAAATACCCTCGAGCTGTAAATGTATATATCTCTAAAGGAATGAAAACATCTAATTTACGTGAAGTCAGTGTATTAACGTGACCTGTCTCTGATGGTGATTGTATACGCGTGGTTGTGTCTCTAATTGTAATTGCACATACGTGGTTTACTAGCCAAACGTGTTTTGTAGTTCACATTTATTCAGAGAATAGGTGCGAGATTCAGTTTCCCTTACCACAAGCGGTCCAAGCTCCAGCTGTGAGATGATCATTTTATGGCGAAATTGTAAGAGTTTGTAAAGGAGGCTAACCACAGAAGAGAAGCCCTCTTATGAAGTGATCGTCTCACAGCTGGAGCGTGGGCTGCCTGTGCCCTTACGATAATAAAAAACTCTGCTGGGTTTGACCTCGTCGGAAGATGAAATTAACAGCCACTCGCTGATAAAACGTGACCAGCGCCTCTAAAGGGACAAGGCAATAGATCGACAACGAGATGTAGAGTTCAACGAAAGCTCAGTTTATGGTTAGGCTTCGGTAAATATTCCTGTCTCTCTTCTGCGATAGGTTTGTCAATTAACTGTCGCTAGAAAGGTCCAAGCAATCATTATTGATCTTGCGGAGATTTAAGAAATTTTCATTAAGGCTATTAAGGTAGCATCTCTCTCCACGATCGTACAGACCCCGTCAAAACTCGCGCGCGGATCGGTGAGGAGATTTACTAGGAGGCAGAATAAATTGAAATTGTTATCCTGCAATGAATTTGTCCATATCCAACACAAGTAAGATACTCAATATAAGGCAATCACCGAAAGTGGAGCAATGTGTTCCGATGTATCCATCCGTGGAACTTAACTGATAGAAACTGGTTATCTTCTACTCGCAAACTGTAATCCAAACTTGAACTTTTGTTGAAAGTAGGAGGAAAATTTTTTTGGGGAAGCTGATATTAAGGGGGCTTTTCTGGAAAAATATGGGTCGAAAGGTAATAGCTCAAGAGCTGGAAGACGCGAAGGCCAAAATGAGGTAGACTTGCGTCAGACTTCATGAAACAGTTAAGAGCACTGTTACAAAATTTAACACGTTCTGTATGGCATTTAGGAACAAATGAAGATGGAAAAAAATGAGCAATATCAAATGTCCCTTTTAAAGCTATAGAATGAATATTTCAAACTGGCCAAATGCTTCAACAGCTCAGCATTCGAGTCATTCAATGTATGAATGGAAAGCCGTACATAAGAGGGTTGTTTTCGTCAGTGACGGAGTTTCGATAATCTGAGAAACAGCCACGATCAAAGTCGACTGAATGATATGAAAATTGAATTGAAAAGTAATTTTACTTTCTTTAAGTCTGTCAGTAATGAAGTTGATTAATGGCGGCAGCCATTTGAAGCATGCAGTGCTCTTTGCAACTGAACATAATGCTTTTAATTGTTGAGTGGCGGTAATGAACGTCCTTCATGAAAATTAGACAATCGAATGAAAGCATTTGAACAGTACTTTCAAGGGGTTTCTTGTTTGTCACTCGGTCCAAAGTGTTTCTAGCTCTGTAAATCATTGTATTAAGCTTAAGAGTGTGTATTCAGACTGAGTCTTCCAGCAAGCATGTGCATTTAATGCAATGCTGTTTGTGTACATCTCGAAACTGAAGCCAATGGATCTTAAATGGTGCTACAAATAAAGGAAAATTATTCCACTTATTTGCGATCAGACTCCTTCAATGAGAGGAAAGAATCCAATGAGGTTTGCCTCGCTCTGAACTTGTAGCTCAGAGCGCATAAACTATTATACAGATGGCACTTGTTCAAACCCAGTCGAAGCCAGTATTTTCTGATGGTTCTTTTTTTTTCGCAGTTTACTTCATTAATTACTCGCTTAGATATAAAAGATATCCTTCGGTGCTAATCGACGTATTGGCTTATTAAAAGCATACCGTGAAGTAGCGCCAGCTTGGAAATTTCATCAGTGGTTTTACTTCTATGTCACATCGACGTGTAAGCAGTTCTAGTATCTCTAAATAAACAGATCAGGCAGCAAGAAGCAACAGAGATTTTCTTAAATAAGTGGTTCTCTGAATTCAGAAGTTCAACTTAGTCTTGCAATTACGTTACAATTGATTATTTCATTTCGTGGTTAACACGACGCGTCGAAATTTCACAGAATCGTCAGGAAAAAACCAAACTCTGTTTTTATATCATCGTCAGTTCTTTCAGGAGAATATTCACTTGGTTCTGTCAGTCATTCCTCGTTATTTTCGTCCGCGCTCCGACCTCCCGATATGTTATGAAATGCTGTTGCGGAATGAAAGTGTTTCTTCCTTCACAAATCGGTTTAAGTCCATAAAATTGGAATTCGCTAAGTTTTAGTTCGACCGGACCAAACATGACTTAAACGTGTAACGGAGCTAAGGAAATCAGGAGAAACTGTGACCTTATTTGCAAAAACTAGAAACTCTAACAATCGAAATCAAACAGTAACACATACGTCAGAATTAGTTGAGGGACAGAAATTTCTGAAACTAAACAAGGAAAAGTGATTACGTAAAACAAAATTCTCTCTTTGAATTTTGGTGACATGTAATTACTATGGAACATGCTATTGCCGCTGCCGCTTCCTGAATGTACAAATTAATTTTAGAGTGGATTGAGTACCTCACTTCCTGTCGGACTTCGTCGCGAAAGAACTGTTTGCTTAGCTTTTCAGTTGTAAACAGCCGCAGCCGGATGCACGATGCTTGCAGTGCTTAAGTCTCCGTCTTACTCTGTAAGATGATTCCTTGGCTTTGAAACTTTACCTAACTCTGTAAGACGGTCTGAATTTTTGACGTTGACTGTCTCGTGACAAATTCCACTGCTCAGTTATAATCTATTTGCTTAGGAATCTAAGACGATCTATTTTTCGTTGGAGTGACATACGACCATATCACAGCTGTCATCACATTAATTTTCGCTCAATATTTTTCGGCTAAATAGTGTATTTTATGATAACAGAAATGTAGTTTAAGTATGTACTGATTAAATTAAACAAACTGTTTAATCAAAATACAAACACCTTAACAAAACTGAAGTAACAAGTCAAATTTTCAAATTGGCAGCAGTTTATCCACAACACTTCGTGATAAAGGTCTGCGTTTACAGATGAATACACCAATAGACTAAATACATTTCGATCAGTTGTGAGCATTATTAGAGGTCCATAACCTTTACTGTTTTGGTTTCTAAATAAAGATTGTTTACCTAAGGCAAGTCGGCAGAACAGAAAAACAGGAAGCCTTCAGACAACGTTATAAATAAAAAAAATTATACTTTATATTCGCCTTCAGAACAAAAGAAAAAAAAACAGCCAAAACAAAAGATCTTGAAATTCCTTTCCCGACCGATCATGCAAGACCGTTTTCTTCCAGTGGGACTTAGTTAGTCAAGGGGAATAGTTATATTCATGTTGACAGACAATGCGATCTTTTTCTGCGGTCATTTTACTCCGAAAAGTGTGTTGGGTAAACTTCATCTATCATCAAATCTATAAACCAAGACTCAAGTCTCTAATAGCGTGTGTCAATACTGATTCATTCTTAAATTCGACGCCCTTTTATCACATTTCAGAACCTCTGTTTAAAAAACCCTTGCTATTCACTGACACATTAATTTGACATTCCCTTGTCACCAGATCGCGACATAGTTTGCAATGCTTGGATTTCTGTGATCTGCGATCATGAGATGAGATGAACAACATTCATATACAGTTGCATTGCACTCATCAGGAACAGAGTGACTGTATCTGTTCTATAAACTGTGAGCCATAACGAAGAGTCGCTGTGCAATAATCATTCTGACAGCAAGCCTCCTATGTTAGGAAACTCCCTCCATTTCGTTCCCCTTGTGGGAGGGCACGGCTACTCATAGGCTATCCGATACCTTTATGTTATCAATGATTAAAAAGGGGATAACGAAGTCCGTAATGTTTCCAATTGAGATGTTAAAGTTTTAATTACTATCGCCCGTCAGTGCTTATTGTCATTAATTATAGAGGTGGAGCTTAAAATTTTCAGTACGTGATCGTATTGCCGTTTTTTTTTTTTTAATTTTTTTTTTCAAAAAGCTGGGCTGATTTCCAAGTTTCAGCAAAAACGGAAAGATCGATTGCAACGGTTTATTGATATGACTTTAATTTAGTTAACCTGCGATGATCGCTTCGTCAAATGTTGCCTTATCGACAGGTCAATATGTAATTTATTTCATATGTACCACAGAAATCGCAACACATGGACATGGTGAGAAGTCAACGAGCACTCGGCATGTGGTCATTCCATCGAATTTTCCGAGAAACTGCGCCAAAATTCACAGTCAAAGACAACATTTAAATTATTTGCAATAAATTCAACCAAGAGAGAGAAACAATGCCTAAAACAAAAGCGAAAACAAAGTAGCTGAGACTGAGTAATTCTCTCAAGTCTCGATGTATTTCAGTCACTAAGCAATAACTTTGCGATTACAATGGAACGTAAACAACGTTTCGCGTATCGAGCTCGACTCTGATTATGACTTTAGATGAGGCAGTTGAAACGTCAGTCACCACTGTTTGCAACATTTCTTTCCTGAGCTACCCTCACTCGAATTATTTAAACAATTTTTGTTTCCGTCCTTCATCGTTGCTTTCCAAACGAGTAGTACAATCTCTCTGTACAACTTCTTTCAACTCTTTTACGCAGTGGTGTGACCAAAGATGGATTTCCTTTCACAACATCAAAACAATTTTTAAGCAGAAGCGTAAAACGAAGTGAAGAAATTATCAAATCAGTAATACCATTAAACGGACTATCAAATTCTCAGATCTAAAAGAATAAGTAATGTATGGCAAACAGTACGGAGAATTAATATCTGGATCATGAGAGTGAAAGGATTAATAAGGCGTTGAGTAATATTTAGCAATGCATTTATCACTGCTCTTAGGCTCCAAGATGTCGAAATCGAGAGTAGTCCATAAACATACAAGTGAACTCACCGTTGCCTAATGCCGACTATGACAGACAGAGCAGCGTCAGGTACGTGAATCAAATGAATACAGTTGACCAAGAGGGAAGTAATCATAAGCAGCGTTTCCGCGTCCATTACAAGGAAATAAACCCCAAGAAAACGTTTTCACGTTTTCGTGTTTTTAAGGAAATTTCTTTCAAAATTCATTGGTAGCGAAAAAAGTCGTCGCAAACGCTGAAGGAAGCTTCGTCTGATAAAATTGGTATGGAATTAATAACGTTTGTCTATAAATGATCAGAGGAACCTCCAAGGCAAATGACCTCCAACCCTTAGAAACTTCTATCGTACGTGCTACGTGCACATAACAGAGTGAAAGCATGAGAGGCTATCGAATTAATCCCCTTTAACATAATTTCAAATTTCGACGAAACGAATTGCTTCTAGAACGGAATGTAGAGAGAAGGCACCTCAACATTGAAAGCCACGACTTAATTTCGAATCAAAACCAGGAGATGGTTACAGTAATGTTTTCATTATGTAGACAACAGCTGCTGAGAATTTACCAACCTCTTAATTGGAAGACACAGAGGTATCACCTAGACAGTGATATGTAGATATACAGCATTATGAGAGAAGTGATAAGGTGAACTTTAGTTGTTCAAAAAAACGCGACTACAAGAAAAAGTAAAGCTAAGGGAAGCGTTGATCCCCATTTTCTGGTCTGTTTATGCTGCCAAGACCAACAGGAGATAAATCAAATAATTATCCAGCTGACTCCATAGTATATGGAGTGAACCCTTGAACATCATAGAAAGCATGCGCAACCATGTAGACGCGAAGTAGTTCGTCGTCGACTGCGCACGATCGAATGACAGTTGATATGACAAGAATCCTTGATAGAAGAATCCTACAGGTAACGCTAATACGGCGATTAATTCGAAGTTTCAACCTTCCCCCCTCCGGGCAACACACGGGCATTTGTGGGGGTTGGGGAATTTGGGATGGGGGTGGGGTGGGGTGGGGAATTTGAACCCGAACTGTCAAGTCTTCCTAGTGGAGTACACTTGTTTTAC